GGACGCTGGCTTCACTAAGTTATACGCAAAAAGCTGCGAGTCACGCATCTAGTTATTTTTTTTTTTTTTTTTTTGTTGTTGTATGTATTTAGGTGCTCACAGAAGTCCTTACGGTCTTATCATAGAGCACCGCGGGTGAGCATTTAACGGGAAGTTCACGCCTCCTTCCGTACCAATGTCGCTTGTTGGGCTAGAGCTGGCATCAGACCTCGGACCTCTGGGTTCTGAGCCAGAACTCTAACCACTGCGCCACGGCTGCTATATATTTATACGGCTGCAGTTGTATTTATACGTCATTGATACTAACTTTATGAAGCTGTTATAACACTTTTTCTAAACTTGTACCAGTGCTTTTATTTTGTCCTTTGGTTAACTGCTTAATTTCTTCATTATTTTTTAGTGTCATGAGTTTTTACTTTTTTTTCAAATATTGAAATATCTTTTGATATTGCCAGTATATGGCCAACACTTATTAGATTTGATTGGGAAGTACTAATGTCATTTACATATTTAAATTAAAGTCAATCTCTGGTTTAGATATACCGTTAAAGAGGTTGGAATTAGGTGCTATGTGTTTTAACGCTTAAGCAATATCCGAAATTGAATTAAATCTCTAATACAAACTATCTACAAGCAGTCTTTTTTTTTTTTTTACAATGTTAAGAAAAATCTTTTCTGCTAAAATCTAGATTTCTAATTTTAATAGATAAAACATCTTTACAATTTGGAAGCCATTAATTTGAACCCATTGATGGGTTCAAACAAATGGCTTCTAAATCGTAAATATCACTGTGTCATTCTACTAGCCGGGTTTTTTAAACCCATTCTAAAAAAAGCTTCAATTCTAAACATTGCTGTAGCATCATGGTTACATGTTTGGCTCATTCCTGCCATACATGTACAGTGATAAGATTGGATTTTTGCATTATCTTTTTTTATATAGTCTACCACAGTTTAAGGTATGTGTCGTTAATAGTTTATGAATGCCTGCATTCACCTTTTATTGCACAAAAAGGACTTTCCTCATTTATTTAGCGATATTCCAATTTTTGAAGCCAACCTGTTTTATAAAAACTAAAAGCTTGTAAATTTTTAAAATCATTTTGCTCATTGCCTCCTAATTCAGATGAGTTTAACATCAGGGATATAAAAATATCTGGATACAAAACTATAGGCCATTATTTCAAAGCATCTTTTCATTAGGTAACAAAGGATCCGTAGTTCAAAACCCACCTCTGAGAAAGTTTAGCGACATCGGTTAGGAATGAGGCGTGAACTTCCAATTAAATGCTCATTCGCGGTGCTCTGTGATAAGCCCGTAAGGACTTCTTGGGGTACCTAAATAAAATAAAAATAAAACAAAACCAATCATCTGTTAAAATAAACGGATCACTCAATTCATTACTGTTAATTAAATTTTTTTTTTGTTGATATTCGTCTTTGAGTTCTTTGACTGCCTCAGTAACAGTTAATACAGGCTCTTTAAAATTTTCTATTGCAGATAATACAAGAGTGTCTAGTTCCCTTTTTGTTTCAGAAACCCACAAATTTCTAAAGTCTTAATTAATATTTCAATTCACACGGACATCAAAATCACAAGCGCAAAATGACCTGAGAATAAGGACTTAAAAAACAAAGAGTTGATATTAAAAAAAATTTAATATCAAAGAATGGTGCTTCTTCTGATGTGGAATTTCCTGCAGATGAAGGTGGACAACAACTTTAAACAAATACCGTAACAAAACACCGTAACTCAAAGAAAAAAAGCACCGACTGTTCTCAATTTGTAATTTGTAATGCAAAAGGAATTTTCAGAAAAATTGCAACAAGTTTAAGCGAATTTTATTTTGCTTTTGAAGTAACATCATCAAATAATACATCAACATTACCAGTTTTAAATAATCTTCAAGATCCTCAAATAGATGACAAAATAAGAAAACTTATGATTGAAAATTTCAAACTATAATCAGAAGCACCTAAGGGGGAATGTGGAGCACTGACTAGGATGAGAAACTAGACATAAGTTTGAATATTCAAAGACGACAAATATTAGTGATTATATTAATGGTTTTTTGTGTTTTATAGTTTTTGGTACTTTATTCATATTTAAATTTGTTAAAGAACTTGATTCAAAGCATAGATAGTACTCAGTACACTGTTTAATAGCCCAAGCAAATGTCTTATTACTTTTAATAAACTCTAAGCCGTAGCAAAGGGCTCCAATGTAAACTTGGCAATTCACACCAAAAGTACAAACAGGGACACCATCCATGTGCAACATGGCACTGTTAGTACTTTGATATTTTTCAGCTGTTGATGGAATCAGCCTCTCTGAAATCTATCGCAGATTTTGAGAAACCTGACTACCAGCCGGCCTCAGAACTATAAAACTGAGTTTTAGAGCTGTACCCTCATTAGAAGATAATAGAATGAGTTGCCTAGTCATAAAAACAGAGAAACAAGCAAAACCCATGCTTTGCAAGAAGATCCAGCATTCAACATCCTTAATTGGAAACAATCTATTAAAAATACATCTGCGCCAGCCTAATAGATGAAGAAGGGGTGTGAGGTTGGTCAATAGATAGAATCTGTTTACCCATAAGTCTTTACCTGGGAGACCTTCTACAAGGATGCATTTAACATCTGCCCAAGATGAGTATTTTTGTCGAGACACCATCTCTAGTCTTTACTCAACCCCAAGGCAGGGGGTGTTTTAAGTTGAAATTCGCTTCTCCTAGCCTTTACCCTAAAAAAGCAAATCCTACACGGCAGCAGGACAAAAAGCGGATTGCACTGGGTTACATGTTACATGCTATGTAAAAAAAGTTGAAATTCATGAACATTTTTTATAATTTATTGACATGATGATTTGACTTTAATGATTCAACTTGTGGCGGTTTAACCAACTATTTTTTGAATAAAACTAAAGAATATAATTTAGATATAATAATTTACGTGACCAAGGCTATGATAATGGAGCGAACACAAAAAGGAGAAAAAATGGTGTTCTAAAACTTATTTTAAATATTAATCTAAGAGTTTTTTATACACCTTGTTCCACTCACTCTCTAAATTTCGTAGATAACGATACTGCAAAAAATTAGAAGCAAATGATTTTGTTTATTCGAAAATGTTCAAAAATAGAAAATTTTTTGCGGCATCAAATAAACGGTGGGGTTCTCAATTTTACATTAAAGCCACACTCAGATACTCGCTGGAGGACTATGATGCTTTATTTGAATTTCAAGAAAATAAAAGAATAGAAAATCATATCAGATATTAACCTAACGTTTAATGTAAAAAAATTACTAATTTTAATTTTACGTATTTATTAATACTGTGGTTTGATACACTTTACTAAATAAATGTTGTTAGAAAATTGTTGCAAAATATAGAAATATATATATGAACAGCAATCAAAGCTATGAATAATTTAGTTACGCTCGCGAATAAGAATTTAACTAGACTCCCTCTCAGTACATTAGTTTATATTTACAAAGATAATTTGAAAACATTGTTCGTTAATGTAAATATTACCTCGCAAATTTTATTAACCCAACCGGTAACGGTTGGGTTAATAAAAAATAATAAACTTATATAGCTTGATATTGTAACCCGAAAAATAATCTAGGCTTAATGCGTTTAAATAATCGTAAATTATCCATTCAAAAAGATATACGCGCTATATACCCAACAGGGTATATAGGAGATATACGCGTATAAAAAGATATACGCGCTATATACCCAACAGAGTATATCTAAAAAAAATAAACATCCTTTAATGTTGCTTTTTAATCCAAGTTGTTCAATTTTAGTCTCAAAATAATCCGTATCAACGCTATAAACGCTATATACTCCAACCAGTGTCTCGTTTTGGGTTGAACGATCTTTTTCCATTTAAAATTAATAAAAATTATCTTACATCAAGATTTATAAAAAGAACGTCTAGTCGAACTTGTCTTAATTTCAAATTAAAATTGTTAGTTATCGATGTCTAAGTCATTCTCAATTGAAATTTTTACTTTGTGACGTGACGACATCGATAACCAACAATTTTTGCAATAGCACGTATAGTGAAGCTTTAATAAATATTAACTATATATAAAATTAATGTATAGAACATTTAGAAGTAAAATTTTACATTTGCTTGATTTTTTATTTAACTTTGCATATACTAAGTTTTACCTTTTTTAAAAGTTGCCTTTTTCTCCCTGCGCCAAAACAGTTTGCGACGCTCCTGTCTACTTACCTAATATATATCACAAAAAAGCTTATATCCTCAATTCCTACTGACAATAAACACATTTTATTTTAAACACGTTTTAAACACTGATCTCAAAATATTAAAATTATATTTTGAGATCAGTGGTATTCAGGGCCGGCGCGAGAAGGTGTCACGTGGAGGGGGGGTGTTATTACATTTTGCCGACTTAAAAAAAAAAAAAGTCCTCGTTTTCCAAAATTTGCCGACTGCCATGACGACATTTGCCGACTGTCTAGATTACCGACTAACCTATATCGAAAGGGTCGACATTTGCCGACTAACTAGTCTAAAAGGGTCCAATTTGCCGACTAAGGGTCCAATTTGCCGACTAAAAATCATTGATGGGGGTCCCCATCAATGATTTTTGATTTTTAGCCCCCCAGACCCCCACACACCCCTATCGCGCCGGCCTTGGTGGTATTAAACTTTGTTGTAAAAAGCTGTATAAAAAAACAATATCGAGAGGTTGTTTTTTTAATATTAAAAATACATGTCAATATAAAGAACCACATTGTTTTGTAGTTACTTTATACAATTTGTAACATTAAAAATATAAAACGAATTTAAAATAAAACGGACAATATCAACGGGATTTTATAACGAAAATAAATTTGTAACAAATCGCGTGAGTTTTAAATAGTTATTATGTAATTTAAAATTTTTTAAATATTTATCGTTGTTATGTCATTAAAAATTTCACCACATTTCGTCAAAAAATTGTTTCTTCCGGGTTTTG